CCCAGTGCTCTTCCCTCACCACCACCATCTATGGTTTCTTTGGCATTTAAAACATCTGGTCATTTGCCATCAGGCTTTCTTGTCAGCTGCCATGCCAAGGCATTGTTCCTCTGAGTCATGCAGCTTCACCTCTGCACAGAACAGGGAGAGTTCAGGAACTGGAAGGCGGCAGAGGGGGAGGGGATGGTAAGTCAGGAGTTGCCATCATTGGAAATTGACCGCTCCTCCCAAACTCTGCAGACCTTCTGTAGTCTATGGGAAACCAGTCTTGGTGTGTTTCTTTTTGAAATGCAGATTTAGAAATAAATGGGCTCTGGGTTCAAAGTAAGACAGTATTATAGAATCATACAAGTGCTTAGCATTGCTGGGATCAGTACAGATGCACAATGTTCACTGTGTTGCAGTAGTCCCCTGATCTGGTACAATTCCAGTATGGTAGGTCTTCAACTCTGAAACTGGTACTAGATTGGGACTAGGTTGGAGAAGACTACACTATAGTATGAACCTGCAAGATGGGATCATATATAAGCGCTATGGGTTTAAGTCTATGCCAGTGTTATTTCTAGGCAGAAAAAAAATATGTCAATTAGTTGCATCTGTACAATAAAAATCAGCTACTAATCAATTTCATTATATATATATCATGTCCACACATGGTTGAGTTGAGACCCTCGATTCAGAATTACAGTAAATAATTCTCAGATACGCAGAAACTGCAGCAAAGTTTTATTTGAAATTTTCAAATACATTTTAGAGAGATCATAAAACCAATCTAAATACAACATGTAAGAATTAGCTGATGTCTCTTGAAAAGTAGTGACCTTAGGACTACTATATTTTGGACTGCCAAAATCCAGACAACTATTAGATGGCAACAAAGGACCCTCTAGCGTTTCTCTTAATTTTTACAGATCTGATATGGTATTCCTAGGTAACAGAGAACATAGGCTACTAAATTTACTGTACTCCATGTTGACTCCTCCAGTTTTTCACCTTGCAACAGCGTGCACAGGGATATCAAGTCCATTCGAGTACAGCCTACTGCTTTATATTGGTTGGGCTTACATATCATTACTAAGCTATTGTTTAACTGTGGTTTACTGAATATATCACAATTGGCTTGTTTCACATGATGCTACCATAATACATAGTTTATAAATGACAATAGGTGAGTATTATACAACATACTAATCCAAATTTGCCCTTTATGTCCTTTAGGGTAGAGCCCAAAGATGGTTATGGAACCCATTAGGCACAATTATGGTTGACCATGAGACTATTATGAAGTACTGTGTATGATAAGCCTGCCATTTCCACCTTGGTGCATATTTTCTTCAATTAGGGGCAATATATAAAGGTATTGGAGGTATGGAATGGTGTTATATTCACATACAGTACCTGATAAGTAAACATAAGTTCACCAAGAAGCATTGAGAGCAAGACAAGGTTCTCTGTAGGTCTTTCAGTGTGTTTGGGGAGTATAATATACACCTAATTGGGTTCAATGTGATAATTCCAAGGCCTATAAAACCCATAAAATCCAGTATGAAGGGTGACAGATGCTTCGGCTGGGGTTTCAAAGTCCTAGATTCCTCAGAACGAGCTCTCAGAATGTTTGTTTTTAATAACAGCAAAATGTCTACATGGAAATGAACTTGATAAATTAAACGCATCATAGAAATAGAAATCTGCATGTTCACTAACAACCCAAATCTTCTGAAGCATTAAGGAATATTTTTTGAACAGACTAGTTAGATGCACACATTCTAAACCATAGTCTCATTTAATCATGGTTTGTTGAATAACCCACAATGGCTAGGTTCACCATCATATTACAAAAAGAAACAAGCTGTGTAATTGCTTAGTGCAGTGTATGAATGTAGCTAATGAGGTCTGCTTTTAGAAAAAGAGGCTTAAGATCACACTGTATCTGTGCCCAGCAATATCTCACCACTTTTCATACTACTTGATCTATTTAATTTAAACTTCCTAAACTTTCTTAAAAGGGCAAGGGGAATATTTTACAAATAATAACACAGTTACAGTATCTCTTTTGAAATTTTAAAACTTAATCATCAAGGGCTTGAAATTAATTGCATACAATACTGCTTCTTCCACATGATGTTTTTAAAAAATCTAGGTTAGAAAGAAAAGAAGAAAGAAAAATATGCACTAGTCCTCTTTCGAGAATTATCTGCCATTCTCCACTCCAACACAGAAGCCACTCTCTTCATACTTTTTGGTAGACACGAGTACATTTGACACTATTCATGACACATTCCTGGAAGATAAAAAGATATATTAATTCTCTTTTTCTAACCAGATTGTTTGGAAGCAGGATAAGGTAGGTGGGTATTTATGATATTTGAGGTAAGCTGCATTTCATTTATAGGGTATAGATTTGGCATGAAAACCAGAGAAAATTCTACTTACAACTATCATTTTCCCATCTTCTATCTTCCTTGTTATTGTGGTCTCTTTGCCATCCCACTTCTGGAGCTGGATCAATACATTGTTATCATCTAAAGTGATGAGGGTCTGTAAAGGAAGACAGAATGTTGGTAGAGCGCTCCTTCATGAGTTGATTTTCAATTTGCCTTGAGGCTAAAGGGAATAAAACTATGGTTTTATGCTTCTTATGCAGTGTGGTACACAATCAAGATCAGAGGCAAACTGTTCAGGTACTTCATGGCTGTAACTTCTTTCAGGAACACTAGATTCCTTGCTTCTTCATCTACTGCTTTTTGTAACATGCTGACCGATGAAGAATTCTGGAGAATTGACAGTATGCAAAATGTGTAGTGTCATTTGGCTTGATTCTAATAAAAAGATTACTCAACTGTGGATTTTATATTTATTTGTTCAAATGATTATTATCCAGGGAAGGGCTTGCCTAAATACTGCTCTTCCTGCTCATACAAAGTGGTTTTTCTGAGTGGCCAACTTATTTCAGCCTTGTTACGACTACATGATTCATCTAACCATATGTAGTATTTGACTACACACTTTCAGAAAATTTCAGCAGGTGACAAATTTGTAACTGTGTGGAAAGTTGCTTTCATCAAATCAAAGGAGACAGTACTCACACCACTTTAAATATATCTGATATTTCCAGTTCTCTTGGGGGGGGGGGGGTTTGTTTTTTGTATAATGGCTTCTCTCCAAGCCTCCATTCACATCTAATTCTGAAGTATAACTTGATCCAACAATTCCACACCCCACTGACAGACCAAGTTTTTTCCCTCATGAAGGTCAGGACAGAAACACAAAACATTCTTCACAAATTCCCCATGAGAACAGCAACGCCCTTGGCCATTAGTATATAATTGGAAATACAAGTATAGTGGGGTTTTTTTTAATCAGTGGAAAAATTAAACATTTTGTGGAGGCTCTATAACAGCTGTACGTTTTTTAATCGCAAAACCTACATGAAGCTTGAAGAACAGCCAAAGACATTGTGAGCCAAAAGTGGAGTATCAAAAGGATGCCCAGAACATTAACTATTCAAAGCTACGTTATTAAATTCTTGAAGTGTCTCATCATTTCACTTGGGCTTCTGCTGTGAGAACTTCTCAGTTAATTGTTCCCATGACTGGAATTGACTATATTGTCCACATTCCTATTCTTAATAGCACCCCAAAATGTGCTCATTTGACTCATCTCTGATCTTTATGATATATCTGCTCTCAGTGTTCCATGGCTCCAACTGCAGAACTTTTACTTCCATTTTTCGAACAAAAAAACATTTAAAATTTTTCATTTAAGACAAATAAATCTGTGCTTTTTGTGGGTGATCAGGAACCCTCACAATAATACTCCATCTAGTTTGTCCTGATGTGATTGCTGTTTCTGAAGTTCTACAATGGTTGAAGGCTCTAGTGGAATTAACTGTGGTTCTTAAGCCAGTAATTCTTTTATAAAAAAAATAGTTGTAAACCAATGGAAAATTGCTTTAAATAATGTGAAATTGTTTCCTGTCATCTTATAATGAGCTTATTGCTTGTTTTGCATGTAACAGACTGGAGTTGCAACTCAGGAGCTGAGATATTAGCTAATATGCTTTGTTTTGTTTTCCAGTAGTTTTCTTAAAAGATTTAATAGAACAATAAAATACAAGAGAAAAAAGAAAAAAAGTGTAAGAAAACGAAACAAAACAAAAAACCTCTCCCTCTTAAAAAAGTGCCTTCCCACCTTCATCATGACAAGTATAAACAATTCCGTAATCTCCTCTTACTTAACTATATAAGATATAAAACTCTTCATCCCATAACCCAACTCTTAACAACAGGCAAATCAAATAAGTTTTGATTTCTTCTCTCATCCAATTCTCAGCAAAAAGTCCAAACAGAACTCTAAAATATCAACATTAGTTAACATATATAAAATTCAACATTCCACATCTCCACTCTTGGCTAAAACAAAATCCCATTTAAAAGGCATAAAATAGTCCCAATATCCCAATATAAGCAAAATAAAAGAAAGGTTTAATGTAACAAAGAGAGACCATTTCTTCTTTACAAAAGATAAGCTCCAATACACAACATGTTTACAATTTTTATTTCCTTAATTTTCAAATTCTCATCCAGTTTTTTCTTTATGTCTGATGAAAAGTTTTTATTCAGATTCTCATTCATGTTTTCCTTAGGTAAGTTTTGCTGCATATCTTGTTCTATAACATCTTCTTCTAAGAACAGACTGTTCTCAGAAAAACACAATATAACTGACATAATTGATTCAATATCCTGATGCAGTTCCTCAAAGATATCTCTAAATGCCATTTCAAATTACTTGTTTGATTATGTCTTCAGTCTCAGAAACAATTTATATTTCCCACAAACATGCAATTATTCTTTCAAAGTAATTTCAGAATCTTAATATTCAAAGTCCAATTTCCAATGCTTTCTGAGCCCTTAATCTGTTTAAAACTTTCTATAGCCAAAACCTTGTCTTACTTTTTGCTTAAAATGCATAAGAATATATATTATATT